TTTTGAACCTTTTCACAATATTCTAATTTTCTGATATGATGAATTTGAGTTTTTCATTTGTTGTCATTTGTAATCATCAAAATTAAACAAAATAAACATCTGAAATATGAGTTTGTATACAAGTTTCACTTTTTAAATGGAATTACTGAAATCAATCTACTTTTTCATGATATTCTAATTTTATGACCAGCACCTGTATATGTAGATTTGTGCAGTGTCAGTGGAACTCCTGTGTACTGGTTGATCACATTTCATTTTGAAAAACGAAAAAAAAAAAAACTAAACACACACCCATGTTTCAATGCCGAGGTTTTTGTGATCGAAAAAATTTTTACTATAATAACTTATTTCCGGGCTACTCGGTGGACCAGTGGGTAGCCCCGCTGCCTTACAACAGGAAGGTTCTAAATTCGATTTCAGGTCCAGGGTCTTTCTGCATGGAGTTTGTTCTCCCTGAGCATGCATGGGTTCTCTCCAGGTACTCTGGCTTTCTCCCACAGTCCAAAAACATGATTGTTAGGTTCATTTGCTTCTCTACATTCTCCTTAGGTGTGAGTGTGTGTGAAAATGGATGTCTGTCCTGTTTTTCTCTGTGTTGCCCTGTGATGGACTGGAGACATGTCCACCAAGCCAAAACATATCATGAAATATGAAGACAAATTAAAGCTCACAGATTTATTTTGTGACCTTTAAATCTTAGCGATGCCTCAGCCTGTCTCCTGACCTTCAGTGTGGTCAGTGTTGGTTATTTTTTTGACAGAGTCATTGATTTACCATGACAATGTGTTGGAAAGCGGTCCATTACGATACACATGGTGCAGCTCTGAGGATGCATTAGTAAGATGCTCCTGTTTGAAATATTCCTGAGGATGAAGTTCATTCAAATTAAAATCTGATGCAGCTGAAATGTTGTGACTCTGAACTTTTGGTATCAAAGATTAATTAAATCCAGTTTGGAGCAACACTGGTCATGAACGTGCAATTTAGAGCCAACCCTATGCAAACGGTGAGATATTGACGTTCACCGCTTTGCTGTGTCCATCCAGCCAATGGTCACTACTAGGCATAGTTCTAACAGCACCTTCGCTATGTCTTTAGGCTTTGCTTGAAACTTGTCAGAGGGCAGATATCCTCCTGTGAAATATGTGACTTCTCTTATACGTGGGTTAAGTTATAGTAATGTCAGCGTCAACGTGTTAAGTGTTGCTATGCGTTGACACAAACCAGCATTTTTTCTAAAAAGTACTGGAGAATATATTATTTGAAAACAAAGAACCATTTCAGAAGAAAGATGTAAAACTAATAGATTAAATAAGAAACCATAAGCTCCAGAAGTAGACTACAAGAAAGTGGTAGTAAAGTGATTTTTATTTAAGATAAATTAAACATTTGTGACAATAAAATAACAATAATGAAAAGATAGATATACATATATAAGCCCTGAAAAAAGGATGTTCTGAAAATAGATTTAAGGGGATTTGAAGGATGAAAATCCCCTTACATTTCAAAGAACCGGAACCAGAAATTGTTTGATCTGTCTAATTCCTCGGTTGATTAATCATTTTTTTCTCAGATGTTTTAAATAAAAATTAACATCTTGAACTAAATTCTACTATGAATGGATTTGCTAATGAAGAGAGGTTTTCTCTTTTTTCTACCTTTGCAAATGTCATGGCTTCAGCTCTATATTTATCTTTGGTGCTTGTGTTCTCTGGCCGAACTTAAATATTTCACATTTCCTCGTTTCTCATTTAAAATAATTCCTCTGTAATGTATTCAATAACATATTCGTGAAGTAAGCTAACAGAAAAATCAAAGAACAATCACAAAGCTTTGTTTTGGATTTCTTTTTTATTTCATTCATGAACACATGACTGTTCAGCTTCAACAAGAATCCAGGATGCGCCTGACGGAGCTGAGCCTCATGCTGCTCTGTCCCAGCTCTCTCATGCTCCTGTACTCTCCAGGCCTCAGGTACATCATCCTGCCTCTGTAGCCGGGCTGCTCGTACATCAGCCAGTGACCGTCCATCACCCTGCAGGACTGGCAGTCTGACATGCGGAAGCGCTCCATGATGTTTTCACAGTCGTCCACCAGCTCATGACTCTGACCCAAGAAATTCTCCCTCTCAAAGATTTGCATCCTGAAAGAACTTTGATTCTGTTGAATGAGCCACAAAGACAGTCCGCATGGGACGTAGAACAGTCAGAAACAGAAACTCTATCATCATTCTGGGATATGTGTGATATAATTTACACTAAGTCATTGTAGGATAGTTTTAAAATAGCCTGTGAATACCTGGGGAATCAAGCGGCAGGATCGGATGGAGTCCCTCATGCCGAAAGAGGTGTGGTCAGAATACTCGCCTCTTCTCAGGAAATACTGGTTTCCTAGGAAGTCAGGTTGGTCGTATACGACAAAGCAACCACTCTCCACCCTGCAGGAGAGACACCTGCTCAGGAAGGAGGACATATCCGGGCAGTCACTCATAAACTCATGGTGACGCCCCTTGAAGTTCCTCTCCTCATAGAAGATGATCTAGAAATAGAAAAAGAAGAAAGGATTTCATTTCCCCCTCTTGGTTAATACGTCACGTTTTCGGAATTGCTGCTCTGTAGAGTAAAGTCCCAACAGTTGATCCAGACATATAAACTCAGATCATCTCTCTACCCACCTTGCTCATGTTGAATGTGTGTTTGTGGGATTCTGTCCAAAAAGCCGCCACTGCCAGGGGGCTTTTATGCTTTATATGTGCTGTTACAGGGTTTTGTTATTCAAATCATCTGGAAGCTGATGAACAAGCAGCTCTGCGATCGCTGTTAATTTCATTTGTGCCATCATGATTCAGAACAATGACAGGGGAAATCGGTGGAAGATGCATGGGAGAAGAATAGAACCGATTATTCCTGAAAATGAAAATCTACAACTTCATTTATGTAAATATTAAAATATAGAAAAATGTTTTTTTTGTTTTGGCATTTTTGCTTTAATGTCAAGTTTGTGTCCATTTACTATGAGAGACTGACCGCCATTATCGCAACTTCAAAATAGACTTAGACTTAAGTATTAGACTTAGTCAACTTTTATTTTCATTTTGTGTACACAGAGTGTAAATTTATGTAGAGTAGCAAATAAAAATGTCCAGTTTCCTCTATCAAATGCTTTTTCTGCATCTAAAGATAATATGTAGGATTTTATATTTTTACTGTAGGAATTAGGGCTGAACAATTAATCGCATTTTCAATATAATCGCGATTGAAAAAAATGCAATTTCCAAATCGNATTAAAATTTAAAATCAGAGACTGACGGACATCCTCCTGATATAAAAGTAGGATTTACAGGTTTGCCTCCATTACAGTTATTTCATTCAATTTCTTTGAAGTTTAAATAAAGTAAAAATCCAATAAATGTTCTAAATTTAAAGTTTTGTTGTTTTTTTTCCAGCCATTTTAACAGACACTGTGCTGCTGCAATGAAAGATGAAGATGTTCCTAAAGCGTTTTACACTAAAGGAACCATTATGGACTAAAATTTAAATGTTACTTTTTATGGCTGTGTAAAAAAACCTTACTATTTTGTTTCTTTTTTATTTTCACTTATGCACCTTTTATTCAAAAACAGAAAAATAGACTCAAACTCAGACTCATGCTACCTATACTTTGGATTAACTGAGGTTCAATACGTCAGCTGTGGAGATTCAGCTGAGAAAGCCTGATGCAGATGCAGGGTTTATACAGAAATGAGAAACTCTAATTTAATGCTTTTTATGCTCTTTTAATGCTTTTAACTAGGGCTGAACAATTAATCGCATTTTCAATATAATCGCGATTGAAAAAAATGCAATTTTCAAATCGCAGACGTCTGCAATTTTTGGCTATGTAACAATTAGTGAATCAGACCTTGCCTCCACATGGAAGGGAAGACAGTTGCAGCAGTGAGATAATCTCATTTTATTACTTGTTTTAGAGTTTATATATTCATACATAGCACTAAATACCAGTTAATCCGTTTAATACATAGACTGGTTTGTTGGTTGCACTTTGGACTTGATGTTCAACAAGGACTGATGTCTAAATCAGTTAAAAGCTGTTCTCTTGAATAATATTCTGATTAATAAAAACATTAAAAGTTCTTGATTTAAATAGTCCTTGTTTACAATTGTCTTTATTTAGAGGCAATTTTTGTTGCTTGTGGTTATGTAGAGAAAAGTCAAAATTAAATTGCAATTTTGGTTGAAATATATCGTAGGCAGAACGCGATCATTAATTAGGACACAGCGTGTCTTTTAGCACCTAATCTGCACAGCAATGAAACAGATATGATCAATTAAACTGGGGGAAAAAAATGCATTAAATCGCAATATAAAGAAAAAAAATTGCAATTGGATTATTTTTCAAAATCGTTCAACCCTACTTTTAACACGGCTAAATCCTTTGTCATCTTTACCGTTAACAGGCTGCAGCCATGTCCAGAATTCCTCGTTTTTTACGTAAATTATATACGTTCCAAATATACGGCAAAATAGTTTTTATAACCGGATGTTTGCTTTTTAAAATGAAGCATTTTAAATGCCACGACA